ATTTTGAACTGCTGTGACTTGTATCAGATGTCGTGTTTTCACCGCTGCTGTCCAGGCCGTCAATTAAAGTTGTCCGTGTAATGTTCTGCTGATGGTCGCACTATAAGAGAAAGTGCCAATCTTCCCTGAACATATAGATGTAACATACGAAAAAGATAATTGAATTAAAGCAAAGTGGCCGCATTTCCATGAGCCCATGGAAACACACCAGAATGTTGCGGGTTGCAGATGCTGCTAGTATTCTAACCACGGAGTGCTCTGTAGTGTTGTCACGGCGCTGCCGAGGTGCACAGAGATGTTGTGTGCTTCTTCATTGACAAGCCGCTCGCGTTTCATGGTGCAGAATAATGCTCGAGCACATATGGATACTTGCACCTACAGAAACAACACAGCCATGTATGGAGGAGCGATGTTTGTCCTGGTGGGTTCCAAACAGGCTTGGTTTTTACGCCGTAAAAACTGATCGTATTTACGTTTTTACGCGTAAAAATGCGCAAAAATACGTAAACACAACGTAAAAACCGCTCATACAGACTTACGGAGTCCGGAGAGTGGCAGACAGACGCCCTGAAAGGGGCAGTCAACGAGTTTTTGTTAAACACCATCATCGTCCTTGCCAAGAGCGAGGTGGACACTGTGTCGCGGGTGCTGGATGTGGTGGAAGACTGGTCATTGTACGCAACTTTCATCGTGTAACCTAAAGATCCCATGGAGCCGCAAAAACGTAAAAATAGCCGTAAAAACAGGCCCTTTTGCAAATTTACGTTTTTACGTATAAAAACGTAAATGTAAGCGTAAAAACCAACCCTGGTTTCAAAAGATGCCAGATTCAGCCCTAACCATGCAGCATCCAAATTCTAGCAATAAATATTACGATGCCTGTAGTCCTGTCTATTGAAGATGCTCCATGGGAAATTGATCGGCTTCGCAGCCGTTGTCGTATGTCCATTGCATTACCTGCCAAACATTATCTGTAACAAAATTAAAGACTGGTAGTTTTGACTTCTCTTCTTAATCCCTACTAGTAGAACAGAGTTTTTTTTGAAAAAGTGGCAAATAGTCAAATCATAATTCTTGGGAACCTTGTTTGCAAACATTTCAGATACCATCAGTTACACTGTCTCGGACAGTTCGTGCTCAGATGCAGCATCGTGGGCAGCGCGTATGGGACTGCCGGCAGTCACACGGACGGCGTTCGTGGCGTGGTGGTCGATGCTCAAATCGTTGCAAACTCTGCCACGTCCGCGCTGCTCTAATCACCGACTGAGTGCGCCCTCCCATTCGGTTCTTCGTGCTTCCCAGACAAACTGCTAACAGTTGGACCCACGGCACTCCTAAAGTTTGGAGCATCTGTTATTTATATTGTCAAGCATGGCGGCGGCCTAGCCGTCCAGCCCAACAACACATCCCGTCTGGGCGTTGGCGCTTCATTGCATCCTCATCTACCTACCACCAGACCTGTCCAGGAGTCAACCAGCCTCGGCGCACCCGCGATTTGGCGTTACGCATGTCACAACTCACGTTCCACCGCGAAGTCTTTGGAAATACGCCGCTGACCTGGAATCCCATCTCCACGTGTCATGCTATGCGGAGAAACGCGCACGCAACGCGGTGGATTCCACAATTAGTAGTTTTTTGAGAGCACATTGCGGCCAACGCATGACTCCTGGAGGTTCCGATATCGCAATAAGAACTTGGACAAATGATGGTCACCCATCTGCACTCTGCAGTACGGAGAGGCCAAAACTGTTTTAAATCTACACAGAGATGGTCGTGGTAGAATTTTTCATGACCGCTTCCATGGGTGTTTGCGCCAACCCGAAATAAATTCCCTGAGGAGGCAGTAAATTGCACTTCAGGCGTCCCACAGCCGCGGATTTTGCACCCAACCTACGCACAAAGATATATCGATCGCCGCACAAGTTTCGGTTGCGCTGTCAAGCATTGGAATGCAGAGATTTTTTTGTGCACTGCTGCTTAAGGGGCCCTTGAAGCTGTGAGACATGCAGCTCACCGGAAATATGCGCTGCAAGAGAACGACCGATGCATGGCTATGCTGTATGGTCAAACTTAAAGCCCCTTACAACATTTTCTTTATGGATCGAAAGTACATCAATGTACTGTGACACGGACTGACACGGGTGCCCAAAATTCAATCACTGCGAGCGCTCTTCTGACTCTGAAACTGACTAATGTGGCGTTTCATGTGAATAGGTCAATTCTACTGTTGCTTTGACAAATTGTACGTTTCTACAAAACAGCGCTTCTGATGGTGGCGGGGCTCTCAGTGTTGAAGTAAGGATGTATGCGCATAGCGCAATTTTCCCTTGATTAGCAAGCGCTGATGTTCCTTCTCGTCATACAAGTTAGGAAATCACTTGCTACGAAACTACACTGTCTATTTTATGGAGCCTTGCAGCTGCGCAAGACAATTTTGATCAAGTTAAAGGAAAAATACTTTGGCATTACTTTGAAACTTCCATCTGAACTGTATTGCATGCCTGGCAATTGAATCACGCTCTGATTCAATCCAAAAGATTCTGCTGGATGCATTTATTCGTATTGTCTTAGCTGAAAACATATTGTTCAATTACCAATACTTTCTTTAAGCTTGCAAATTCAACTTAATCACTCCATCAGATTTCAGATTTGGCACTCATGTGTTAAACTGTGTTACTTGCAAATCTCGGATGCGTTGTACTCTGTGCAGGTGGGCTTTTACCCATTTGGTCTCGGACCGCCATGCTGTCAGCATCTCCTTGTTGCGATACATTTCAACCATAATCCTTGCAGGATTCTTACCGCGCTTCAACGGACGCCAGTACGTCCGCCGCCACGCAACAGGGATGCCAGCGTAACATTCACTCTCTCTGTGAGCCGTGTCAACAATTCCTTCCCCCTATCCATAAAGTATTATCTCTTCCCCGATACTTTCCAAAACCGGCCCGCGTTGGCGTCAACCTAAGCCACAGTTTTGGTTGGTGCCACACAAACGGCCCTTGGGCCTTGGGGCCGCCGCCAATCAAAGCCTCCACACTGATCTCCGTGCCTCGAGCTCCTCGGCTACACCCCCTAAACAGTTCTTGTTACAGATCGAACTCTGCTATGAATTCCAATCTCCTTCCCCGTGTGTTGCATTGCCAGCTTCAGCTCATGCCCAGCCACCAGTTCGTGCCTCCCAGCCTCTTATCATGTCCCGACCACCCCCCTGACAAAACAATGGCACCTCGTTTCGGCCCATCTTGACATGTCGCAAACCGGAACCGGGAACCACGGAAACACGGGAACCGGAACACGGAACCGGGAACACGGAATCGGGAACCGGTATACCGTTTGCTGTGCTTGAAGACGTTTTCTGCGGATGGCTTTCAATACAGAGGGTTAACAAGTACTCTGGAAATAAATTCTGGCCCACATGTTTCGAGCTCTGTTTGAGTGAATTTGCATAATTTTTGCCTTGCTTCCTAAGGCCAAGCTTCTGCGTAAGGTCTCCTATCATGCTTGATAGAATGTGTTGCTATGGGCACAGCAAAATTCAAGAATTTCAGCAACAGATTGCGCGTTTGTCGGGAACGGGGCCGTCCTAGGTGGAGGGGCCATGTATGCCGCGGTGAGTCCATTGGATTTTGGCAATCTTCTATGCATTGCAAAACCAGTTCTTCCAGTAGCCCGGTGAAATGCAAAGAACTTGCAGAACACGTCAGAATTCACTCTTATTCCAAGCGAGAAATTTGGGAAACATTCATGACATGAAATATGATGAGAGATGGCAACGCAATGCAGATCAATTGGCATAAGCGGAAATTGGTACAACTCATCTACAAAAAAATGTCCGCTCTTGGTACTAAATATAGATCCACAATGATTTTTTGACAGTGTATCGTGGCTGGGTGGCCAGGACTTTTATATTTCGATTTGAAGTCACTGGATCTTCTTTATATCGTGCCGCCGGGTCAAAGGACCTCATTTTTGCTACTATCAGCGGATTTCTGTATGTTCGGACTTCTAGCATTGTAAACTGCCGCATCGTGGGTTCGGCTTAGGGGACCATGTAGATTCATTTCAGCGGGTGCACCTAAGCATATCAGGGGAACTGGCAAGGGGTTTGGGGGTGTTGTAGGAATTGACTCGAGGCCAGCCCATCAATTTGTCACCAATGTTAGTGTGTTGGGTGAGATCCACATTCAGGCGGCACAATAAGATGGCAAAACAATAATTCGAATTGGCATCAAGGGCCATGGGATGGGTAGGGAATGGAATGGGATATCTCGCGGATCCTTTGGCAATATCGATGCTGGTGTTCTTGACCCGTTGGGCTTCAAGGCCGTGGAGTGGGTCGAAGGAGCAAAGTTACTACACCCACGCGCTCGCAGCATGGGCATGTCAGTGGATCAAATGGGGGGGGGGGGAATCACATATGATTTTCTTGCGTCACTTATTCCAGTCCCAGATTGTTGATAATTGTGGGCATGCACGTATGTGCGTGCCTGCGGTGGGTGGGTGCCAAATTGTTTTCTTAAAACTGCGAGCCTTGCTCAAATGAGAACATCCCGTTATTCAAGAATACATCTGTGAAAATTTCAGTCGAAGCATCTGTATCGTGACAAATGTGATGTAGAGGTGAAGTCCTTTTACCAGCATTGCGCACTCCGAAAATAACCAAACACGAGACATGTAGCACACAATATGCTCGCAAATGCAGTGGATTTAAGCGCCACCTGGGACACAGCAGTTCAATGTTGTACGTAGACTGATGGCGCAATTTCCGTGGATCCGTTTAATAAATGGGTTGATGCAAAACAGAGGCAATTGAAATACGTTCTGCATGTTGTGTGTCTTTTGTGACCGCTCTGTTGGAATTCGATCTGAATTGAATTTTTACAGAATTAATGCCGTGAATTTGGTACGTCCCATTAAGAGATAAAGGCATGTGCGCAACCCTGCATGGTGCCCAATGTCAGACGCAGAGGTAAATAACATGTTCCTGCTTGTGGGGCCAGTCGTCCAACAGTGTGGACATGAGGGACTGCATCTTCAAAGGAAACAAGGCCCATGGATTTGGAGCAGCGCTTCGCGTTCAAGTGAGCTGCCATATTTGGCAAAGCAGACCATCTAATGCACATCGACAGTCAATTGATTACAAATCATGGAATTTGAAACCCACGTCTGTTGCAAGAACTGAGGCATTCTTCAAGATACGCTTGGTATTATTTGAACGTGGTCGATGCAATTAATTCGCTTCCTTCCTTCCCAGGAAAATCATGCCGGCAGTAGTTTGACAAGTTTGTCACAAAGACACTAGGCTCCCAATATACGTGACAACTCCATGTTTCAATCGCGACATTGCCATTTGACTGGTTGTGAGTTGTATGAAGGAGGTTTTAGGAGCTTTCTGTACACAAAATCGACTGTTCAACCGCACAGGAGAGCACAACGTTGGACATGGCAGAATGCACGTTCGAAGGAAACCAAGCTAATGGCGATGGTCGAGGAGGAGGGCTGGCGCTGGCGGTGAGCTCCGACGTCAGCAAAGTGCTTTCCATTGATTTGTTTGGCCATTCTAAATTACTCAGCATATTGCAGTGTTGTAAATGTGCTTACTCGCCATATGGTTTTGATCGCAGATCAAGAGCACCTCTCGCATCAAGAACTGCACATTCTCTGGCAATTCTGCTCTGAGAGGAGGTGGTGTCTATTTGCGAGTGAGCAGATTCTCACTATGCTGCTAAGATAGTGTTGCCACTACCGCTTAATGGTACCTAACAAAGAGCATTGCAATGCCATTAAATTCAAAGTATGGCCATTCCATGGCCTCAAACTTTTTTGCAATTTTGCAGGGACCTCCTGATATGTTGGACAGTCAAAAACCAATTGCATGGTGTAAAGCACAGGGGCTAGTATGTTTTCTCTGGCAATTAGGCTCCTGGGAGGTCAAAGTACAATGAACATTACAATATACAATTTCATACCTCCTCCGTCCGGAATTAATTGTCCTCTATTTAAGAGAAGAATTACATTATATGAACGATGTCAACATCAAAAAAGGAGTTTAAAATTGGAAAGATTGTGTCCCAAACCCTTAACTCCCAGTTTTCAAGAAAAAAACTTAGCTTTGATCCCTCTAAGCAGCCCCCCGAAATGCCTCGCCTTATCCAAAAAATGTGCGTTCACATTCCGCGCCCATGGGAGATCCCCGCCAATTTGCACCCTTCCTGTCCCCGCATATGGCAGTGCCATAATGGCACGGGGAAGTTATTGCCCCTATCATGGCAAAGTGTGGTATCAAACACGTGGAAGAGCGCTTGCCAAACACGCTCAAGTGTGTCAGGATTGTGATCATAGAAGGCCGTTGTCACGGAATCGATGATGTCCTGTAACTGATGCAGCTCAACACTATATTTAGCAGCGGCCGATTGTGGGAATTGCTATCAATGCAAAATTGGTAGAATTGGGTTTATTGTGGAATTTGGAATGGCTAGGCATAAGGCAAATGGCTAGATGCCTAACGTTGTGTCTCTTTCACAAACAAAAACTAGCTAGGTGGTGATGGATTGTGGGCTGCAAAAAGAGTTGGTTGTTGGTGGCATCTCATGGATCGTGGGCCAAGCTGCCTGGGAAGGCCTTGATTCAAGGATTATTTGAGGCAAGATGCCCACGCCGAGCACACAAGTACCTTGAAGTGGTACAGTGCACGGTGCACAGGGCCTAGGCTTGAGCGCCCTGGAACTTGGCTTATTTAGTTGGTGGTAGGTCCTTGCATCTCGGATCTAGGGCTGCAGCGAATTCTGGCATTGTCAATGTTGTGACGATGGCCTTCAGCAACGACGATCCAGATACCATCGGCCATGTTTGCCCAGTGCTACTCTAAACAAGGGATGTCACCCTTCACTGCAGCACTGGCGAAGCCATCCCCTTGGTTGCCTAGGATGGGAGTGACCTAGAATTGTGTGGATATCCAGCGGAATTGGAATCGGCATGGCCATTTTTTTTCTAATTCCAAGGGCAATTTTGAGGGTGCCCTTCAAGGAGTGGGGCTGACTTTTTTCCCTCAAAAATTGGTAGTTAGGTGTTTGGGGACCCAATCTTTCTAGATCTAGCCTTTTTTTACTTTCAAAGCTTTCCTTGCAATGAATTTTGTACTTCAAATAAAGGACATTTAATACGGGATGGAGGAAGTATCAGATTCTTTTCTGCATTTGCGAGTTTCTCGCTTGCACCTGTGGAGCCACTACACCAAGTCCTCCACTCTACACATCAATTGACAAACGCAAGTAAATAGTAGCAAAAATAGTGGTTTGTGGCTTAGTATCCACATCAGACTATTGCTTAGCACTCATCTATATAAGGGCAACTATGATAATCTCTCTCAACCCCTCCGAAAGATCTACCCAAGATCTACTTGCTACTGAGATATAGAAGCATCCCTTGGAGCCTTAGTGCACTGCTAGGGAGCCATGGCTGCCGCCTTTGGACCGGTCGCCACTCTCCCTATTGGGTTACCTGAATTGACCCCCACCTAAGTTTCTATAGAATTTCTACTTTTGTCATCATTGGTATATCTATAGTGCTATTTAAAAACCTTCTTATAGGTCTTTCTACATGTGCTCTTGGTTGTCTCAATCTTTGGGCAATCTCCTCACCTCCCCTTGGATCTAACGTCCGTCCCTCAGCATATGCTATTAAGCCAGCTATCATCGATTGATAGAAGGCCCCTAGCCAAAGCCCTCTAGTCTCTAGAGAATCTATAGCTGCTCTCTTGATCCCTCAATCCCGGTTCAAAGGGCTCCAAAGCAATTGTGATGCGTGGTGGTGCCAAGGTGGGAAAAGGACCCCAGACCAGATTCCAAGACCTTTCAAATACTGCGCCCAGCTCTCGTAGTACATTGGTTGGTGACTGGCAGGCCAACTTGATCCCTAATGACTTATCCACTACTGGATAGTCCTGTTGCAATGCCAAGTGCTCCAGTATTATGGCTTGCCTAACATTCCCAACGATGGGACTATTTAGGGATGCCGTTGCCAATCCAGGCACTCTCTTTGTGAAGTACTAGCCTAGCGATAATAACGTATGTTGTAAACGCGGTGCGCATTACATTTCTTGAGAAAAATTGACGGAATGCCAGTTGTTGTATTGAACACAGCAACGACTTTCAAACACGATATACACTGTGCGCAGTATAGAACTATTGTTTGATGATAGTACTCCCACTCATATGTACATTTACGCATATGCAAAATGACTTGGCTAGGAGTGAGAGATGTTGTTAAGGGTTATTTTGCTTGGTCTTGTTATTTACAGGCACATCGCATTTACGCGTTCATGCTTTCATGTGCAAAAGCGCAAACACACAGAAGCAATATTTCTGTGGCCACTTTTACACATTTTAAAGCTACGTTGAGACATTCAGGTTGCATGATGAAATCCCATACAATGGGCAGTCATTCTTGCCCATGAGCATGCACAGCACCCACCTGGCTTATGGGAGGGGCAATAACGTCGATAAGCAGAACACTATTTTCCGCCCACTCCAGCCCATCTTGATTCCACTCGTGGACTCCCTGATTCTGTATGCACTGTCGTATGACATATTTGACACACATTTATGTCCAAAGTTGTACGTGCGGTCTGCCCTTGCACCGTAAATAGCAAGCCTGATTTGCTTGTGTGCTGCCTGGAATCTCATTGTTGGACGCAGGCTTCAATTTACATGTGAACAAGGTGTCAGCTTGCACACGGTTGTACTACTCGTATATAGCGAGCCACTGCATTCGCAAAACTTCCCTTTCGAGACCCAGTCGACTCCAAGTGTGCATACTGCTGGAGCCCGCAAACTGCCAGTCAAATCGCAGATGCAGTACATCTACTGCAGATGCGTAGTAGAAAAATAATATCTTTTGGAGGTTTGGAACACATCGCATCACCCGACAATAGATGGAACTAGTGAAATGCAATGAATTTAATTCCATTCCTCTGCCTTCCTGGGTGTTCTTATCAACGTCCGTTTTCTGCGAGCCTCGTGCGATCACAGCAGGTTCACTCTAATGTCAAGCATTCCGCAGGAATCCGTGGACGTGCGAATCCAAGAATCCATCTTCTCCAGCAACAGCGCTGACTTTGGTGGGGCAATAGACTCACTGGTAAGCGCTTTGCGGTCTTACCAATATATCACTGCCTGTGCATTTGTCTCCATTTAAGTTGCACAGAAAACGCCCTTCGAATATAAACTTTTTGTCGTTTTCTGAAAGTTTAGAGTGGCAATGGAAGATCGGGTGTGGCAGGTGAACCTCTTTTTACACCAGACAGTCAACCAAAGGAGATACATGGCAAGAAACACGCTCCTTACACATACAGCTTGTCTGCGGATGGCCTATGGGCACCAAGAGGACCGTACTATACTTCGCCCAGTGGAGCATATGGTGACTGCAGATCCGCTAAGTAACTTCTTAGCGTGGTCGCCCTCCTGAGTAAATCTGGTATGACAGCAGTTGCCAGCTAAAGAAGAAAAGGTGTTGTCCATGTTCTTTCGGCGACAATGGAATTTGTAGAAGAATGAAAGGCGACAGCGAGCACAAATTTCTCACAGTTGTGCAATATTTGTGCAAAACCAAGTGACGAAATAAATGCCTTTCCTTAGGATCTTGACAATGGGGCTTGTGTGTGGGGAGTGTGGGTGTGGGTGGGGAGCGGGATTATGCGTAGGGGTGGGGGTGGTGTGTGTGTGTGTGTGTGTGTCTTGGGGGGGGTCCTGGCCAGGTGAAAACTCGTGGCGTTGTTCTTGCAAGGGGCTACATCTGGGCACCTAGGGCTGCCTTGGCGTTTTTCGCCATGCAGCTATACAAAAGCTGAGTCCTCAAAGGAGAGTTTTAATCTGCGAATCCTAAACGAGGTGGCGTGATGCCAAAGGTCTCTTGCACTTCACGAATGCATGTATGATTGAAGTTGCTTATGTGATTGCATGGCTAATGTGTGCCCAATCGCCTTGCCGATTGAGATAAAAATGGAAATCAAAGCACTGTAAATTAGTAGGGGCGATCTAATAGGCCAAGAATGTGACTTAAGAAAAAATGATCAATAATGACACCATGATTTGCATAGATTAAATTAAGTAAAGGGGAGTTGAAGTCCCGGAAGGTAGACGATTGCCAACAATTCGACAGAAAATTCCGTGGAAATACATTAATAGCACATGTAGGCAAACTACACGAGAATTCCTGGCCTCTAAGCATGCTGCAATCGAGTGAACTGGTGACGTCGTTTTGTCGTAACTCGACAACGTTCACTGGTATTCGAGCGCAAACATCGCTGGGCCTCTAGCAGCCTACTTTTATCCCTTGGTCTGGGGTGTTTATCAACCTGGATATGCGCAGATACTTGTATGGATTCAGGAGGGCGTCGTTATGCCTTTCTCCTTTTAATACAGCTTTCAGTGGCGCCAAAGTGGGGGCCTTTCTCCATGGTAGGCTTTTCTCCTTGATCTGACGTGTTCGCCATGGAATGCAGATCCAGGTGAAGCTAACGGTCGACGGTTCCAAATTCTCCAACAACACGGCCGGGAACTCTGGAGGGGCATACAATGCCGCGGCAAGTTCATGAATGTTATATAAAACCTACCGGAAAGCAGCAACATACGAGCAGCTTGCATCACTTCCATCCAGATCGCTAGGCTTGATTGAATGCAATTGTGACCGCCATTTTGCTTGTGATGAAATGAAAGGCACCTCTTCAAGTCTGCTGGAACGCATGAGCTGTTGCGTCGCTACAGAATTTGGCGCTTCGGGGTCCTTACGGATGTTTGCATGTGAAACATACATAGAAAACATCTGGTGTTATGATACCCATATCTCTAACTCAGAAAGAATATTTATCTCAGATAATTTGTCCAAAAAACCCCGAAATTAAAGTGCTGAATTGAAATGACGTACCGTGCTACTCACGCGCACATTGCTGCTCAGGCGCGTCTGTTGATGCATTTACACTTGCTTGCAATACGCGCCCAGCATCACAGATAATGCCACAGCATTGGCATGAGATAGCCATGTAAAAAGGCGCTTAGCGTGCGGTGCAATTTTAGTACATCCTTCACTCGTTGTTTTCGGCACAAGCATTTAATTTTAGAAATTCCAGCATAAAGCTATGACGAGGTAGACCAAGAAATTAGCGCGGGAATAACAGCAAGAATGTAGCCTTAACACTAGGGAAAAAAGGACCAAAGAACACTTTTGCGAACACACATAAAACACGTTTCATCAAAGTTCTGCGCGCTAAGAACACAAGAATAGCACAAACCCGTAAACTTTGTACACGTTTGAACACGCGTTATTTGGCCCTGTTTTTCCTAGTGTAAAATCATGAAAGTGCAGCACAATGTGGAGTAATGGAGTGCACATTACATCACAACAGAAAATTTAGCAGAGAGATATGCTCGGCCTTGTGCAGATTCTTTTCCAATCTAGTCCGGCCATAAGAAGGTTTGACCTAGTCCAAATTCCAGTTCAACCTAATTCAGCTGTGTGCGAGACAATAGTCCAATACCCATCACTGCCGTATGTGCAGGTCACGGAAGTTCTTTCAGCTTCCTGGTTTTACGATTTAGCAAATTCCAATTTTTAGATTGTAGGGTTCAGAGTCTATATTCTGGGTTCGCAGTTTTAGGATGCTATAGCCTTCCGCTTTTGATGACGTTCGTATTCCGGACACGTTGCACAACGAAATGTACCAATTAATGTGCTCACGGAGTTTGTAATCGGTCCTGCCTTAGACTGGACTACGTCGAGCCTGCATACATCAGATTGGGTCGAACCTCCATTTGCGCCAGGACGAGCCTCTATTTGGGCTAGGCTCTCCGTCCACTGAGCGTGGAATATGTTGAAATCTAATTGGTACTACGCTTAACCGCTACATCAATAGGCAAATTCCTTGTACGCAAATAGTTGAAAAGCTGGGGGGGATGTGCCTGCGAGACAATTAGAAATGCAATTGAATGCTCATTGGCATAAACGCCCTTGAATGGCATAAAGCCATGCACCAGACTGGATACCACTCGGTGTGCATGCGCCTGTGAATTCTTTAGTGCATTGGATGCACGCTGCCAACGCAATGAAAATGTTAGCCGACACTGTTTTTTTTCATGTGCCACAGAATGAAAGTACAACGGATTTCAACAGCTGCGATTTCTTCGAGAACAATGCTGGAATCGGAGGAGCAATTGCCACTTATGTGAGTAATGCCCACTGCAAAGTGCACTTAAATTACACACGTCGGAAAAAAGTTGCATATCCTGGATATACATATCCAGGATATGGCTATATCCTAGGATATGGCCTCCTTATCCTGGGATATGGTGCCCATATCCAGGATATGCATATCCAGGATATGGCCATATCCCTCCATATCCCTGGATATGGCTGCCATATCCTGGATATGCATATCCGGGATATGGCCATATCCCAGGATATGGGCTCCCATATCCTGGGATATGGCCATATCCTCGCCCTTATCCTCACCATATCCCGCGATATGGGCGCCCATATCCTGGATATGGCCATATCCTCGCCCTTATCCTCACCATATCCTGCGATATGGGCGCCCATATCCAGGGATACGGGCCATAGGAAATGGCAGCGTGATGGGGACGGACGCAATGCCAGCGATCGCCTCTGCAACGCCAAAGCCAAAGCCAGACGCCAACGCCAAAGCCAGGCCTTCCCAGGTGCGAAGGCCGTATTTGACGTGCAACTTTGACTAGTCTACAGAGCCGGTGCGGGCGCCCGTTACCAGTTCGAATTACTGTTTCAATCGGTCAATAACTGTCCGTCTGTGTACTTTGTGTACGCAAAATCATAAAATGATCATTATAACATCATAACATAATGATTACGGCATTGCTGCGCCAATAGATAACGTCCGTTAGTTTGATCATTCTGGTTTCTGTCATTCCCGCCAAACCTGGCAACCCCGTGCTGTGCCACCAAGTTCGCGCGGCGTGGAGCAACGGCAGCCATCGGCCAGGCGAGACACGGCGCATAACGGCGGCGATGTCATGGCGCGGGTTGGAGGCCTGGTGGTGGGATGCGCTTGAAGGTGCGCGGCGGAATGGTGGGAGGGTGGCGTGGGGTGGGAGGCGTGCGCGGCCATTGGGCAGGTCGCTAGGCATTTGTAGTGGACGCGATGCTTCTCGCCTGTGTGTGCCTATGAGACCCCGCGCTCCAAGGACAGGCACGCGCGGCCAACGGCCCACGTCCGAGTCGCACGGCTCCCTCCCCGCCTAGCCGGCCAACAAGAAGCAGCGCACTGGGCAATCCAACGACGAGGTCCCGCCCCCCGCCCTTCCCGCCGCCCGCCTGGCCCGCCGTCCGCATCCGCATCGCTGCGTCGCGGTGCCGAGTGTTCTCACTACTCGCTTCGCGGGTGGCAGAATGTGGATGATCAGTCGCCGCGTGTGGTCGCCCGTGACTGTGCAGGAATGGTACTACGTCTGATAGCTCGGCGACAACCTGTCCTCACGATGTAAGTGCGAAAACTGGTGGTTTGTGTGCCTGGGAAGTGCTGCCCTGCGGTTCTGGGCATGGGTTTATGAGTCGTGCCTTTGCCGTTTGGACGCAGGCAAGGTGCTTGCGAGGATCGGAGAAGGCAGGCGGTTGATTACCAGCTCACCGCCGACGAGGGCAACGGACTGCAGCTGCTCGCCTCGGCTGTGGATCCGCGCCGCTT